CAACCCCTATGATTCTATGATTCTCTGGTACTTTAACTTCCAGGCTGCTGTATTCAGACATTTCTGCTAGTTCAGTTTTCTTTGCACTCCATCCAGCAATGTGAAAACAGATCTGTGGACAGTCTGTCAGTTTGTGTATTGAATGAGCCACTGAACTTTATTGTCATAAGCAGTGAAATTAAACACGCTGTCTTCTCTTTACCTGTATCTAAGCCACACAGAGAAGTACAGTTATTAAATGTAGTTTGTTTTAGTTTTTTCATTCTGATTTTTGAAAGAGGGGGAAAAAAAGAAAATTGTGGTAAAATCTGGTTGGTCATTGGAATCATGCTTTTTGAGATCATGCACAATATACAATTTATGCTGATTTATACTCAGCTGTGTAAGCAGAATAATGCTAAATCTTAGTGTTAGCTTATGTTCTTTAAAGCTGTTGATCTTCATCCTTTCATATTAAATTTTCTGTACTACGACTGAATATTTTAAAATATTACTGTAGGGAATATTTGTTGCAGAATACAAAATTAGAATTCATATTGGTTTGAGTATATACTTAGATAAATATTGAGAGTCCTTACTAAAGTATTTGTACTTGAGGCAACCATGCTATGGCCAGATTCCAAAGCCTCATAAGCCCCATAACTGTATTCTGCTGGAAATTGTACTGGTACAGGCTTTTACCTGGAAACTGCAAAGATTGGTCAGGTCATCCTGTGAATTGAATGTAAAGGTGTTTAACATTTATTGAAAGAAATGGACTTTTACGTGTGGAAAATAATTGAGAATCTGACAGGAAGAAAATGAGAAACGTTCAAGTAGATGTGAAACTGTGGAGGCTGCAGTTTGTCAACAGTTTCTTAATAATGTAACAAACACTTAGATCTTTTGCTGTAAGTTCTGCAAGGGCACCACTATTAATAGTTGTGGAAGCAACAGCTCATTCTCTTGAGATTATCCCATAAATGCAAATCCTACTTTCTGTGCTGGGAGAAAATGAGTTTAAGTGGAGATTGTTTGCTACTAAGATGAGTTGTCAAAGTATTAAAACAAATTGCTTTAATCGTATTGACTTGTTAACAAAATTCATGTAGGTCAGATTTCTTTCCCAGTGTTTTCTCAAATGGACTTCATTTCTAGGTTAGTTAAATTGTAGCTTAAAAATTTTAAGATTTCCAACTATAAGGCTGAAATTGTTTCTATGTAGGCAAACCCCTAGCTGTGATTTTTCAAAGCAAATTATTGACATTTTCTGGTTCCATTTCTGATTTTTTTAAAGAGATTCTTTATTGCAGGAAGATATAGAGGCAGAATCTTCATTTTCGTTAAATATGAACTTCAGCAGTAAACGAACAAAATTTAAAATTACTACATCAATGCAGAAAGACACACCACAGGCAAGTATTCTTTGGTGTTTATAGCCTGAACATCTTAGGCTTATTTTTCTAAAGGAATTTGTTTTAGTTTGATATTAGATGTAAGACTCCCTGTGTAAAACTTGCATCACTGTAAATAAATTACTTAAGTTTAAAGCTTAAGCACTGCAAGTTTGGTTTTTTTTTTACATAAAATATAGGCAAGAGAAGATGGAATAGGGAATAAGAAAGTACAAGAAAAAGATAAATAAGCTATTCCTATTATCCCAAATGGAATTGACATTTAGCTTGTCCTATCTAATGAGACTTCTTGTTGGTGATGTTTCTAAAAGCAGCTTATTCCAGGAACAGCAGAACCATTCAACTCTGTTTTCCTGTGGTTCTGTGTCCTTTGGCAACTAAAATTAACTCCAGTGTTGATAGTCTGGGTTCCCACCACGTCTCCTAAAACTCAAGATCTTGTACAAGAGATGTGTGTGCTGCCAAATTCAATGCTTTATAGTAAACTCTACCTGACTTTCTCCCTAGCAAAAACAGTGGTTTGGATGTCTCACTTTGACCTTCCTGTTGACTTCCACGAAACCAGGTATTCTTGATTCATGGAAGTACTTGGCCTGGAATTGAACTTCACCTAGACAGTTTTAATTAATTGAACACTTTTAATAGAGTAAAAAGCATAGATTCAGGATACTTTTAGGAAGTGTTTATTGATCTTACTATATTTTAAACATTACTGTTCTTCCTATATTGCAGGAGATGGAGCAGACCAGAAGTGCTGTAGATGAAGACAGAAAAATGTATCTTCAAGCTGCTATAGTCCGTATCATGAAAGCACGTAAAGTGCTGCGGCATAACGCTCTTATTCAGGAGGTAAGAGATAGCCCTCTTCTTAAGCAAGATTTCATTAAAATCTTCAAGATGGTTGGGTAAAACATCTGACCACAAAGTTCTCCTGTGTCAGAACTAATACCTCAGTGAAGTTAGTGAGAATTTCACTGGAATCTGCTTTGAACTGCAGTACTGGAGCACACTAGCTGTGGTCCTTCAATCTTATAAATGTGTCTTAGCACTAAAGCATTAAGTGCCTCTGTGCTGACTTTTCAGTGTTGGATGGTCTTATGTCAACAGATGTTGTACCTATAGGAATCATTGCCAGACCTGTAGGTTCAGTTGAAAACCTGAGTATGGATAGTCTAGGTATGGAATTTCAACAGAAGCACCTAGCCAGTTTTGAGCCTTAATTGTGATTTCCTTTTTATTAAGCAATACAGTTATCTAGATTTTGTCAGATTCTAGACTAATGACCTGTAAACTATCAGACTGGTTGGGAAGGAAATCATCTTTCTTTCATTTTTCCCCCACCTTCCCATCTGTGCTGGTTGCCTAGTTGTATTTCTTACTCCAACCTAAGCTTTGCTTCTACCAACCTGTGTTCAAATTTAGTTTTCTCAGCCTTCCGAGGCTTTCATTCTTCAGTCTAATTGATTATTTTGTCTCCTGAGCCTTGCTGGTTACCCTCAGAGCAGACTGGTGGGAGAGGGAATAAAGATTTCTGCTTAATTTTACCATTTTGAGCGTGGAGGTTGAGAAACATTCAGTCATTTTGAGATCTGCTGTGTGCTTTCTCTCTTGTGGTGATGGAGGAAACAGTTTACCACACACACCACTTCATTTTTATTTCTTAAAAAATAAGCAGCTACAGAGAATCTGTAAACCCAGAACTTGCTATGTGAGACATCTTAAAGGTTTTGGATATTGCAAGAGTACTCGTACACAAATACTCTGAAAGCGAGCTTAATTTAAGAAATCTGATTTTTGATATCTAGAAGGTGAGGAGGCAGCATAGGTTCTGACTGTTCTCAAAGTGTTTAGTTATTTGGTTTCCTGTTATTTAAGTCATCCATGCAATTATGATGAAATCCTGTAAGAATTTACAAATAAAGTTTGAAAATGGTAGGCATGTGCTATTTCATCTTTGAAAATAATTTTTTTCTTCTTATTCTCAAATTCTTAGAAAAAGTTTCCAAAGCTTACTTTGCTTGAGAGCAGTATATAAGGGTGGAATAGATGACAAATTTTTGTTCGGGAAGAAAAAAATCCTTTCTGTTTGCTTCTTCCTATGTTTAACTCAGGAGTCACTATCTAACAGACCTCTGCTTTGTTTTGCTCTTGCAGTAATCATGTAGAATAGCATGGTCTACTAACATACGAGGAGCTTTTTCATGCCTTGCAGGCAGGGTGCATGTTTTGATTGTTAGTTAAAAACTAGAGGCTCAAGTTGCTACTCCAGTTATCTGTTACCAGCCATATCTACCTGTATTGTTTTTTTACCTTAGCTTTTAACTAAATTTATGGCACTTGAAAATCACATCCTTTATCATTTAGCCTTTAGTTCTCAATTTTGAATACTGCTTGCATCCTAGGTGGATTAGAGCATTTTAAACTGAAGGCTAGGCTCTTCAATTATTGATATCTATGCTGCAGTATAGTGTGAGTGAGGACCTGATGTACCCTTAAATGAGGAATTGTGAGACCTCAAGCAATAAGGTGAAGCAGCACGAAAATCTGTTAGGGTTAATTTTTGCTTCCTTTTTGCACTCTGAATTAGTTTGTGCCAATGTCTGTGCTGCCTCAGCTAAACTGTTGCTGGGACCTGAGCTTGCTGCTTTAAAATATTAGGTGTCTTCTCTACAGTCTGTGGCATAGATGTACTCTTAGGCGCTTCAGAACTTGTTGGCCGGATTTCAGAGCAAATTGTTGGGAGACACATTTTTGTAAAGTTAATGCTTAAACACAAGGATGAAAATCTCATAAGTGGAAATTTTGCCTAGTTATGTCTGCATTGAGCTCAGTAACTTGTTTTGCTTCATGCTGTGTGAGTAAGGCCAAACTGCCAGGTGGTTCCAAGCTGAACATGCTCAGTTTTCTCACTACACTGACCTTTATTAAAAAATGAATAACCATCACTTCTGTTAAACCTCTAGAGTATGCATAGTATGCATAACTAACTTCTTGGCTGCCTAACTTTTTTTTTCCCCACCATTATCCTTGTGGTAAGATTTGATTTACTGTCAAGAGCCTTTTTATTTCTTAAAAAATTAATTTGTGATATTGTTATTAATTATGGTCCCGCTTTTACTTCTGTGATGATGTTTATATGCTTATAGGTAATGTATCTTATTTAGAGTGAGGTGTCCAAGAAAATGCTCAAGGCCTTTAGTAGACCTATATATGTCAGCTTGTGGCCTTTGCTGAATTGTAAATTGCGTTAGATACACTTTGATAGTTTAACTCCATGCTGCAGTAACTTGCAGGATGAGGCAGCTTTTTTCTTAAAATGAATAAGGTGCAAGTAGTTAAGGGTCAGTGCAGTCCTATCCAGAATTTTTTTTTTTTTTTTTTATTCTTACCATCAGGTATTTGCAGTTATCCTTCTTATTTGTGTTATATTTGATAAAACCAAAACAACCTTACCCAATTAAAAATTCTACCTTGTTCTCTCTGTCCTAAGTAAATTCATGAAGTATGATGATGACAATCAGTTTGAGTGTAGAGCTGAAGTGTGCTGGAATCTGAGCAGATCTGTTAGCTTGTTAGCACAGAGTTTCTTCTCATTTGTACTCCTGTGGAACATACCAGACCCTTGGCTGCTGGCCCAACAAAACTCGCTCTTTAGAGGTTTTTGTTTGCTTTGCTGGGTGAGTTCTACCTGGTGAGTTCTGTTGGCTCACAGTGGGCTCCAGTAAGCTCTAGAGCTGGGACAAAGCCAGCCATGAAAAACTGTCAAGTAAAGAAACCTAGCTGAAATAAAAATCACTTTCTTTACCGAACAAATAAGAAACTACAGGCAAAATCTATTGTAACACTTGAGTAGGTAAGATCTTTTGTTTGAAACATTTTCCAAGTTAATAGATAGACATATTCTGTTATACACACCATTTCCTCCACTTCTTTACAAGAGAGTGGGCAAAACCTGAGAAATACTGAGACATCTAAATTTTTTCCTGTAGTGGCAGTTTCTTCTACAATGTATATATAGATTTGTTATTACAATAATTTTTTTACTGTATGGATTGCAAAGTTCCAGCATAGTCAAATTGTAGGTCTGTCCTTGGTGACTGAAGAAAGAGAAATTCACCCTGAATGTCTCAAGTTTTATAGGAAAGGTCAGTGGTTTGGGGATTCCATTTACATCTTCCAGGCAGCTGAGCCTGGACCAGTGCCTTCCAGGACCAGGTATACAGTCGTGCATGGGCTGGGACTCAGCCAAAACACAACAAATCCTGCTCACATCTCATGTTGCAGCTGCCACAGCAATGAGTAGTGTAGCTTCACAAAATGATTACTACTTGGGCTGTGTCTTTTGTGATGAAAAATGTCATCTATGGCTTTTCAGCTAGTTTCCTGAAAAGGAAGTGTTATCTTTTTTAACACTTGGCTTTAATTTTCAAGTAAGACTGCTGTGACACAAACAAAATTAGCGACTCCATAAATTAAATATTCCAGAACAATGAGAGTACATAAACAGGAAAAAAAAAAAAAAAGGAACCTAGTCTAGGAAGAGAAGTCAGTTAGCAAAGCCAGCATGGAAGTCATATATGGTTTTACAAAATTTTCACTTTGCTTAAACTGAGATAACATTGAAGAGTAGTGTTAATATCAGATGTATTTTTAACCTTATCTTCATTTGTATCATGACAAATTAAGCAAGTGAGAGGACTGAAAAGGTCTGGTTAACATGCAGGCAACTGAATTGATGGGCTGAGCAGTCAGCTTAAGTGTCCTTACACTAATGTTTAGAAATACTTTGTGATTTGTTATAAATGAACTATTCCAGGTTTATTTAATCCTGTCTTTAAAAGAGAAATCTCTTGAATTTGTCTTCAAGCTCTTAGCAGATATTTCTGTAGAATTTACAAATAAATAAACTTGTAAATAAAAATAACACAAACCATGTCTTTCTTTTGCAGGTAATTAGCCAATCAAGAGCTAGGTTTAACCCAAGTATCAGCATGATTAAGAAGTGTATTGAAGTTCTGATAGACAAACAGTACATAGAGCGAAGCCAGGCCTCTGCAGACGAGTACAGTTATGTAGCATGATGTTGCTGACCTGCAGGTATGATTGTAAGGAGATCATTGCTGTCACTGTTTGGTGTGTTCCTGTGGGAAGAGGCAGGCCTGTGCCTCCATAATTGGTCACTTGGCAGCCCCTGTTTTTCTGCTGTTTACAACATCACCAGTGCCATGTCATGAGCGTCAATGAAAATGCCTATAGATATTTCGAGCTCATGTCATTATGACATTTCTTAAAACTTTACTAAATGAATGAGTGAAGTATTGCTGAAATGTGGAAAATTGGTTGGGTACCATGCTTTTTTTTTTTTTTTTCCCCTTTCACGTTTGCAGTTGATGTTTTTTAATGTATCTTAAGACAAAGTTAAAAAAAAAATACAAAAACCCTAAATATTGTAATATGACAGATAACCTAATAATTGTATCTACATTAAAATGTAAAAAAAAAGACGAACATGATACTGCTGCTTGTCAAATAAAAAAATAAAGTTATATAATGTGTCTCAAATGATTATAGAAATGGATATAGCATTAATGTCTGTAAATATTGTTCAGACCTGGAAGAGTGAAAATATGTGTTTGGGTTTTGGATAAACTCAAGTAGATCTGACATAAGAACTACTTTTTATAAAACTGAATACCAGGTGTGTTATGTTGGATGTGGAATTAAACATTTTTTTTTTTTTTTTATAATCACATCTTGTTTTCTTGAGATTAGGCTAATTTGCATTCCTAGTGCCTGAAGACCTACTCTGTGTCTGTTAATCTCACACTGTAGGAATATGTTACAAGAGAAAATAGACATTTGAGGGGATTTAAGTAGTGCAGTTCACAAAGAGTTAGGGATGGTTATTGTGAACATCAAAGATACAGTTCAGTGGCTTGTGAACCACCCTCTTAATAGGAAAAAATATAGCAGACTGGTAACTGAAAAGTGTTGTATTACTAATGCATTGGGTAGAAGCACAACATGGATAAGTACCTATGTTTCCACATAAGCCCATACTGGTTTTTTTTCTTGTTTTCCCTCCTGACTCATATGGTTGTATTTATCATATTTTGTTTTCCTCTGCCTCAATTAGATTTCTAGATGTTTGAGCAGGACAATAAATCCGTCGGTTATTTCATGTCCTGCATTGTTTGTCAGGGGATTCATGGTGACTGTTCACTCTTGCATAAGCAAAGTATAATTTAAAAAGGTGCTAACTCTGCCACTGGCAGTAACTGGAGTTTAGGAGCACTAAGAATGCGAACACACCAAATGCTTGCTGCAGAAAAGAGCTTCCTCATGACTATGCCTGCAATTGTTATTGACAGGATGAATATTAAGTTAGCTTTAAATGTTCTATTTTTGCCAAATTTTATTTGTGTGCATATAAAAATATATGTAGAGAAGTTTTATTGGCAATATTTTTTTAGATTGTACGATATTTTGTTGCCGATGAGAAACGTACAGATCAATAATTAATTTTAAAGAGAAAAAAACTGGGGAGAGCATTTTCCTTTTTTCTTTTTATAGTTTCTCACCATATGAAAGGTTTCTCTCTGACTCCAAGATTGCTGCACTAATTTCTTAAGTGGCATCACATTCGTGTGTTATCTGGAGGGCAGGGTACACTTTTTGTAGTTAACTAGGAAATGCATCTGGAAGTGGTAATATGTTTTCCTTATGTGGATTTTGCAGAGGGCAAATAAAGGGCAATATACAACAAAAGGCACTAAACATTTCTTCCATATTTACTGTATTTTACTACACTAAGTATCACTACACTGAGATCTAGATTTTTTAGAATGGATTTATGTCTTGAAGAAGTGGTATTTTTAACTGATTGTGATATGGTGCAGTAGGTCACTGTCCAAAGTGTTAGCTGAGAGTTGTAGATGAATGCTGGGAGACGGCAAAGGTGCTTCTAGTGTCACTAAGAGTAGAGAACAGGAGACACATTAGCAGAGATCTTGACTGAAGTGACTTTTAGTCTGTGTGAAACGTTTCTGTGCTTCTGTGTGCATTTCTGTCTTGTAAGACAAAGCCAAAATGGCATAGAGAGAATATGCTATGACACAGTAGAAACAAATACAAAAAAAATATTGCCTGAACATTGAATCACCACATCACTTCTCCAGAAAACAAACTTAACAGTGACGCCAAAGCTTTTCAAAACAAATGTTTTATCTTGTAACTTGTGTATAAGTCAACAGATTTTAAGCTTGTTTCTTCATATGAGTTAATAAAAGCTTTACTTAAATACAGATTGAAGTGGCAAAATTTTAAGACTGAGTTTCATAAAGCCTTAACCAATTTATTTTCAGAATCGCTTCAGAGACAAAAACCTTACTGCTCTAGCTCAAACCTGTAAGGTTTTAGCAGTATCTTATCTCAGAATTTTTGCATACCTAACCCATCAAAAGTATTATTTTGTTTTTTAGATAAGCATGCTGCTGAGTCGAGACATGTTTAGTGAGTTAAAAACATTCATACATTTCAGTGCAGTTGGCATCCCCAATGTCTTTCATAGCTGTACACAAACTCAGTCTTTTCAGTGCCTCTTGGCACTGAAAAAAAACCACGGCTATAGCTGAGAAATGTTTTGAGTTCTGTTTGAAAACTTACACCTTCCCCCTAAGGAAAAAAAGTAGTGCAAAGGTTGAGCCCTCTGTAGCTGGGTTATGTCACTGAAGTGATTGCTGGCAGAGTGCTGCAGCTTATAGTGTAGTGCTGCAGCCTGGCCACTCAATACGTCTGGCAAGGTCATTTCAAAATACAGACTGCTTGTGGATATTAACAGGAGACGCAAATCATAAAAAGAGAAGACATCCAAAAATGCCATGCATCTTTAATTTTTCACTAGAAGAAGCTGGTATAGTTGTACAGATTTTAATTGTTATAAGTCTGTTGACATGTATGACGTGCTAGATTATTATGTGCTGTATCTGGAAACAATGATTTCATACACCTCATACATTTATAATATCAAAATCCATTCTACCTCTAGTATTTTGCGTAATAACATGAATTATTGTTATGCTTATAAATTTATCATCAACAAATAATCCTTGTGCTAACTGAAAAAGTATTTCTACGATGTTTTAATTTGCCTTCCAATGGATTATCTTATTTTAGGAAAGAAAAAAATGTGTATTTCACACAAAACCTGTGTTTCACTGTGTTCCTACATATGCAGATGCAGGAGCTATGAAAGATACTTTAATCACCATAACATGACAAAGTTTTCAAAGTGGAAAGTATTGTCACTTTTTAAGAAACCTTTCAATGAGTACGTCACTTTTCCAAATAAGGAGCAGAATTGTTCAAAGGAGAAATATATTTTATAATCTCGTATCTTTCAGCTATGCTTAGAAAGCTATTTCTTATCCTTAAAAAGTTTCTTATCCTTAAAAATTTTAAAAGCAAGTCTTACCACATAGTATTGATTCTTGAGCAGAGTAAATTCTTTATACGCTAAGGCAAATATTTTAGGACTGTCTGTTCTTTACAAATAAGTACCTAGAGGTAATTAATCTAAGGTATAAAAGTCTATGAAAACGTATTGTCCAGAGGCGATTGTTCTTACACCAATTTTCTCTTAGTACAAATCTGAAGTTATCCTTACTTGCTTACATTAAGTTGTACTGTACTTCCTAGCTGATAACAAATCAAAGTTTTTACAAGTTGCCTTGGAAAAGAAGAGGAAGGATCAATACAGCGTTTGGGTATAATAATTTTAAAACAATGCCAAACTTTTGGTAAACACAAGCGTGTGTGTGTGGTTGTGTGGTTTTAAAGGGGGTGTGGGGGGGGGAACAAATATGTCTGGTAAAAAGTACCCAGGCCTGTGCAGGTTGGATGTGTCTTACTGTCTGCATTCTGTGGAATTCACAACTGCATCAATAACGGAAGAAAATAATGGCCTGCAAAAGGAGAGAGGTAGATGAGGTGGTTGGTCTCCCTTTTAGGAGTACTCGAGTTGTATTTTTGTGGTCTTTATCTTTGAATAGTTTAAAAATGTGTATGTCAATTAACAAGATTACTATTTGGTTCAGTATTGGTGATTATTTGTCAGGAGCTTAAGAAGTGTTCTAGAGTATTCAAAGCAGCAATGCATTTGACATGGCCATGTGTTGGTGCTGCTGCCATCAGCTGTCCCAGGAGTGTGCAGCAGAAGACTTGAAAGCTCCCTTATTCTCCCCAGTAAGTCTGACAAATAAAGGACTCTTCTAAGCCTGAGAAGTAGCACGAAGCAAGTAAAAAAAATTGCTGTTAGTCACTTTTAAAACAGTTCTAGTAGTTAGGGAATTACTTCCACAATTAATTTCTACACTCTTTTTATGACCCTTGTGGCTGAAAGCCATCAATGGTGATTTAAGCAAAACTGCTCACTTGTTTGGTTGCTTTGACTGGAGTAATGAACACCTTGCATTAACACTGTAACAAGTGTGTTACAAGTCTGTTCCTTCTGCTCAGCTGAGGAAAATAATGGGCTTTGCCTTACTAGTCTGTTACAATATAAAGTGAAAACTTCACACTTGAACTACTGATGAAATTGCAGTGTATGAAGCCTTTTTAGAGCTTCTGGACTAGCCAGAAAACTACTCTGGCCTTCTATACTGAAAAGGGATATACTAACTTTGTGTGTCCTTCCTTCCACTCTTCCACTGAGATAAATAAAATCATACACTGCTGTTACTGTAAATATTTCTCTCCTGTTCCTCTCTGATGTAGTGTTATATACCAGGAACAGAAAGTAAGGTATTCTGTGTCTACAGAAAGTAAATTAGAATGAATGAAGCACTTCCCACAATGTCTGTATAGCCAAGACATCAATTATTTCTTCCTGATTGTTATCCAAGCAAACATTTGGTGTATTGGTGTTTACAGGAGCAGTGGAAAACTAAGGAGATTGTTAGGCATGCTTTCATCTGAAAGAGGCATCATTGAAAGAAAACACTGTAATTATCACCTTTTAGTGGAAGCTGGTGGTTCTGATGTGTGTCAGATTTTTCCTAGCAGCTGTGAACAGTAGCAATGTAGTTGCCAACCCTTATTAGAAAGGAGTGGTGTGGGGACAATTTTTAAATTGCACATCTTTTAGTGTTGGTGATGTCTTCTGTAACTTACTAGGCATATGTAAAAAAAAGTGTAACACTTCTCAGGTAATTTTTCCCATTATGTTGAAAAATTTCAGTTTAGTTTTATAAGATGTACTTGGGCTGTTTTCTTAAAAACTCGATGCTCTAAAAAAGAAAGCTCTTAAAAACTCTATGGGTTGATTTTTCTTTCTTCTTTCCAGCCACCACCTTAATAGAATTCATGGTCATCAAAACTTGAGTTTGAGAGAATGAAAAAAAAAAGTATCTGAAGTTCATGATATTTTGTAGTCATCTGTGTGTTTGAAGCCAGTTCAGAATGTTCTGTGGGATTTGTTTTAAGCAATGTCACGCACTTGGTTAATTCAGAGTGATGAGACACATGGAGTGAGGTGCTGCCTAGAACT